AGTGTATCAGCTAGGAAGTTTCCCTCATCTTAGAAAGCTTACAGTTAAGACACCTTCTCCAAAAGAATGAACCCAGAATTTACAGAAACAAAATTCATTTGCAGGAAATGGGGAGGGGGGGTGCAGGCAGGGAGTATATTCCCACTCTATTCTGCTCTTGGTCAGACCTCACTTGAAATATTGCATTCAGTTCTGCAGTTTGAAAAAGATATTGGTAAACTGGAGCAGGTCCAGAGAAGGGATCGAAAAAAGGTGAAAGAACTGAAAACCAAGTCCTACAAGGGATAATTACAAAGAAACATGAACATGGGAAATTTCAGGGCAGGAAAATATGAAATACATCAGCTACAGGTATCCTTGAAATAGATTCACAACGGACATCAGAATTTCTGTTGCTAAGTGGTTGTTAAATGAGTTGCACCCAATTTTATGACCTTTTCTGTCTCAGTTGTTAAGCAAATCATTACAGCTGTTAAGTTAATTACAAGATCATTAGGCAAATCTGGCTTCTCCCATTGATTTTGCTTCTCAGAAGCCCACTGAGAAGGTTGCAAAGGGTGATCCCATGATCTTGAGATGCTGCAGCCTTCGTAAATATATACTGGTTGCCAAGTGCTGGAATTTTGATCACATGACTATGGAGATACTGCAACAGTCCTAAGGGCAAGGACAAATTGTAAGTCGCTTTTTCCAGTGCTATTGTAACTTTGAACTGTCAGTTGCTCAACAAATGTTTGTAAGTAAAGGACTACATGTACACTTAATGTCAATGAATTGAAATGAAGTATACTGAAGTTCCATACAGTAGGGATCTGCAGATACCTTAAAGATATTCTCTACTTATAATAATCTCTGATACTACAGAATGGAATTATGTCAGAACTAAAGTCATTACCAAATTGGAAGGCTGCAAGAACTGATGAAATATCTGCAGAAATATGATGTGCATTCTAATCAAACTCTACCAAATATGGAAAACAATACAATTCCAATTTGAAAGAGGTCGGTCTACATGCTAGCAGCAAAGAGGAGAGACTTAACATGAGGATATTGTGCTATTTATCACATAATATTCTAATTTCACGTGCTGACAAAATAATCCTTACAATCATCCAAAGCAGATTAGAGCCCTACATGGAAACCTCAAGCTGGTTTTAGAAAAGCTAAAACAGAAAGAAGGGAGATTATTGCAGATGCACCATAGATAATCAAGAAAGCCACAGAGATCAGTGTGTGCTTCACTGACTATAGAAAGACCTTTGTTATGTTAACCACGTTAAGCAAGGAATGTCCATGGGAAAAGGGGAATTTGAAACATCTCTCTGTTGTAATGTGAAACCTATATACAGAAAGCAACAGTCTGGAAAAAAAATCAGTCAAACAGACTGGCTCCAAATCACAAAGGAGTGAGACAAGACTGTATATTGTCTCCTTATTTACTCAACTGATATGGTGATTATATATTGAGACTGAACTGTATGAAGATGAGTATAGTTTTAAAACTGGAAAAAAGAAACATCAATAACTCCCCCTGCACTCCCCTGTTGACATTATTCTGATAATTTAATGGAAATTTACTGGAGATTCTAATAATAAAAATGAAGGAATATGATAAAAAAAAAATGAGATTATAATTATATATAAAGAAGAGCAAACTAATTCCAACAGACACAGCAGCAATCTTTAGCAACCAACAATGAAATGGCAGAAAACTTGTGTCTTTTATAATAAATTATCAACAGTAAAGAAACCAGTAGTCAATAAATATGACTACCATATTTGACCATGTAGCAATGAAGGCCAAGAGAAAGATATTCAAATGCTTCATGTCTCTATATCTATGAAAAAATCAGAATTGTACAGAATTGTATTCTCTGGGACATTCTAAGGAAACAAAAACTGAACTCTGAAGAAGCAGGATAAAAAGAATATTGATGCTTCTGAAATTTGGTGCTGGAGAAGACTCTTGAGAATATAATGGATAGCAAGAAAACAAATGGACCATTAAACTAAACAACCCACAGTTGTTAAGATACTCAAATTATCTTGAACACAAAGTGTCAAGACACACATCCCCTGAAAAGTCCATCCCCCGAAAAGGTGGGAGGAAAGAGAAGGTGGCAACCAGCAGTAAGGTAGATATAGAGTAAAACCTCTGAACGTTGGCCACCCAAGGGACTGCATGAAAGTGGCCAACATACGGAGGTGGTACGGAACAACTGTATTGATACAGTTGTTAATTTCTCTGAAATTAAGACCCGATCTTATTAATAACTTACAGAGGTGGTCAGTATAGAAAGGTTGGCTTTCTATTGCGTACATATAGTGTATGTCCAGTCTACGAAAATTAGGTCAACTTAAAAGAGGTGGTCAACTATGGAGGTTTTATTATACTTAATTACTGTGACAATGAGGGCAATATGTGAGACCTGAAGGGCAAAGTTGGTTATAGATTATCCTGGAGAAGATCTATCAAGGGTATCTAAGGGTTGACACTGACCAGATGGCACTTAATTAATCAACAGATATATGGTAAAAATGAATGAAACTACTTTTCCTCTGAATCAGATGACAGATAATGTTGCACAGTCTTTTGCCTAGGCCACTGAATTTTTGCTCCTCTCCACCCAATTCACTCATGTTCATCTTTAAATAAGCTGCTGATACAGGAAGGGGAAATTTGTTCCAGCTTTCCATAATTTTAAGGGTTTCCCAGGATTACCGAGGTCGTATATTTGTTCCTCATTATATTTTAATATTCCGTGGTTTACCAACATGAATGGAGTTTAGATGATTACAGCAGATTTTTTATGTTGCACACTTTATTTTTAAAATGTTTTTCAAAAGAAAATGGAAGCATGCTATGTTATCACCAAATCCAATTACTGTTCTCTGTCTTGTCTTTCATAGCATATAACCTCATTCATTGGCCTATTTAAATTGATTTTTTTTCCATTTAATGAGCTAGTGACACAAGGGCAAGGATATTTTAATGCTAAATTAGTAGCACAATAATTTAGAACATAAGTATAATAATAATTATATATCTTTATGTCTTCAATTTACAGAGTAAATCTAGGCAAATCACGTAGTCTCAATGCTATCTGATCAACATGGTGATCTCAAATATATTTCAATTACATGTTGAGGTTTGGAAAAAGAGTTTTAATTTTGTAGTTCCAGGCATATGAAGCAACATGATTGTATACTAAGAACTCTGACTAGAAAGAAGTTTGATCTGTGTCACCACAAAAAATATCCACATTGTGAAAAATCAAAAAATGAGTTTGGGATGATGCATCAAAACTGTTGCTCACCATACATAATGGAAGAGTGGAAGATAACTTCAAATGGCATTCCTTAAAATCATAAGTCTAAAACAATATTAGGACTGCAAGAGGTTTTGCAGAAAATGAACCACTGTATCCGATTAATGCATTGTATGTTTCAATAGTGAAAACATAAATTATTTCTGCCAACTAATTTATTTCCATAATATATAATATGTAACATTATTTACCTACTCTGCATTTATAATCTACTTTTAATAGCCTATTAATGTCATAGTTAAGAATTGCTTTAAGCACATCCAATAAAATGATTTCATTTTTTCATGAGGAATACCATACCATACCTACCCCATATACTCCTTGACACTCTTTCCATTTCAAAAATGTTTTTTCCATTAACCAAAATTAAAATCAATAGATGGGGAAAGGGAACATGTCCCTCTGCAGAGTAGAAGAATGAGAAAGTCCACATATGGTAATATTCAGTAGTGAATGAAATAGAATGCTATAACTTCCAGGAATCCATGACTATTTGGTTGAAAACATATATGCATGACTTTACTGAAAATGCAAGGTAAGATCTATTTTGATGTGTGTATTAGACAGAAAAGAACCTATTGTTGACTTCTGCTATATGTCAATGTCTTAACATTAAGCCAAAAATACATTAGATTAATGTTATATGTAAGTAGATATGATTTCGCCCTGTCTTTCTACCCATAAGAAACTCAAGATGAGTAACAATATAAAGAACTACAAGCCACTAGAATCATACCATCACAAAATCTAGCAGGAGAGGACCTTTCTTAAAAGCAGTAAGGTTAGAGTTAACTCACACAGCAGATGTATGTCCAGACATATGTAAAACATTCATAAGTTTGAAATACCCTTTGACCATACAAAAGTATTCTAAGTTCCTACATCCCTGAAAGTGTTACCTTAATTTTACAGCTACATTTTGAGATCAGAGTTGCTGTTTCAAAGTCAAAATATTTAGCCTGGGAGAGATTGAGAAATCATTCAGAACCAAATTCAGCTCAAACACAACTGGCAACTTCGTGCCAAACTGAATTTGCAAGAATACCACTTTTCATAGGATTTTGCTCTTTTCTGTTCCAACAGCACACTGCATTCTGAGAAGTGATGCCAAAACTTTTTCCATTAAGTCAGGCAGCTCTACACTTGACCAGAAATAAATCCCTGACAGGTATTGCTACAATCTGAATAAATATATGAATTAATACATTATTTATATATGCACTTTCAAGTTAGTACGAGAACATTGAAATAACAAAACAATATACTCCAAGAATGCATCCTGTCATGGTGATGTTTAGAATTATGATGAATAAGCACTAAATTTCATTCATACAACCCATTCTTCCAATTAACTGATTTCTAGCCCAATAGTACATACAGTAACTGAGGATGGTATGATACTTTGGCATACATTGAACTCAGTGTAAGCTGATTTGTGGTATATCATTAAAAAAAAACCAAAATACATTTCGTTGCTGTCAGGCATGAATGCAAATAGCACTTAACCCATGAGTAAATCATACAACATCTTATAATATGTTGATTACATCCGCCACGCCACACTGCACCTGCTGTGTATTTTTGTGGTCAGACACATGGGGTCAGAGTGTGCAGCCGAAACGTTTAGCCATCTAATGGACAAATACCATCATCCTCATCATCATTCCTTACCTCATATGACCAGACACACTGAGTACCACCAAATCGCCGAACACATCTGCCCACTTCCACGTCCTCATGAGTCGTGTACATCTCTTGAAGACATTCACCTATATGGGGTACCATCCTTCTGAGAACCTCACGACTGAAGATCATCCCAGGCCCTCCCATGCAGAAGTTCTCTCCTGGTTCAAGACCCAATTTTCCGAGTTCTTCTGTATTTCCTAGTCCTGTCTGTCCCAAATAAAGAGGTTTGCTGCTATTCAGTGACCGAAGGAACTCTTCCAATTTTTCACCTAAAAGAAAAAAAAATATCAAAAGATATTATTTACAGCACAAATCTATCTTTACATAGAAAATAATATATTTTCCTTTTAAAGTGCTCTCTGTATAATGGGCCTTACTCCCAGGCCTTACTCCCAGGAATTAAATTACATCTTATTGTGTAATGAAAATTGATTTTGTTAGCTCTATCACAGTCTGCTGAGGCCAACAGTACACAAACCCTTCTTTCATAAACATCTTTCATAAACAAGTGTCTTAAAAACATCTTAAATAATAATCTATTTACTCTTTTCATGTATATATCTCTTTTCATGCAAACACATTTATATAAATTCATAATTTAGCAAATATTCTTATTTGGATAAATTCAGAAGCTGACTGGTTTGGTTTTGTCCCGTTAAGCAAGATTCAGAAAAATCAATTTTTCACTGATTAGTATGGAAAACCCATATTTTGCTGTAGGCAGACACAGTACACGGTATTCTTGAGAGGAATCCTGCCTAATTCCAGAGAAATATGTACAAGTGTTTTGAAGTTCAATTCCTTTAAATTCTTACTAAATTTAAAAACACAAATGTAAAAATACAAAGACAAAGAAAAAATGCCTGTAATGTTTTGTCTTTGAAAAGAATTATATATTTGCAGGCGAAGGACATAATGCTTCATATTATTCCTCTAAAGTACTATGATTGGTGATACTAGAACAAAGCTTTGTCTATGATTAGAAAGGAGGCATATCAATCACTCAGCTCTACTCCCCTTCCATTCTGTCGTTTTAGGGAGAAATCACAACACATAGTAGCAAGGGGATTGTCTTCTGTAGTTCTGCAATACAAAGCCCACTAACCTGCAAAGAATTTAAGGTCCTAATCAAATTTTTATCATTTCGCAGGGATCCCATTTTATTTCAGTGATCTAGCTATGCTCTGTTCAAAATGTAAAGAGTGCACTGTATTACTTTGCAAAAAAATGATTTACATTCAACTATTTTAGTGGATGTCAGGCAAGTATCCAAAAGAGCTAAGATGTATTTAGACAATGGGTGCAGTAAAGGCTGTTTGATTAATTACAAGAAAGAATGATTTAGTTGTCTAGCTATCAAGTTTACATTCTTGTTCAAAGTATACTTTTCGAAGAACTATAGAATCCTATATATTTATTCCAAGTAAGTAGATATAAAATTGTACAGGTAGTCCTTGACTTAAGACCACAATTGAGCCCAAAATTTCTGTTACATGTATTAACTGAGTTCTGCCCCATTTTACGACCTTTCTTGCCATAGCTGTTAAGTGAATCACTGCAGTTGAGAAGTTAGTCACCTGGTTGTTAAGTGAATCTGGCTTCGCTATTGACTTTATTTGTCAGAAGGTGGCAAAAGGGGATCACATGACCCCGGGACACAGCAACTGGTCATAAGTCTGAACCAGTTGCCAAGCATCTGAATTTTGATCACATGATCATGGGGATGCTGCAAAGGTTGTAACTGAAAAACGGTCATAATTCACTTTTTTCAGTGCCGCTGTAACTTTGAACTAAATGAATTGCTGTAAGTTGAGGACTACCTTGTATTATAAGGCACAGTTCAGTGAAACATACTTGATTAAAGAGTTAAATTAGTTGGAATTAGAGTTTACAAAGCAACCTCATGAACTGAAGCCTTTGATAAATATTACTGATACTCCTTTAAAATTCTGGGGACCTGTCAATTCAGTTTACCCTGCAATTTAAAGACTATTGAAGCTAAGAGCTGGTATTAAAACCTTTGAAATAAAGAGAAAATAAAACTCACAACATCTGGCAATTTGCTATTTCAGAAACTAAAAACCAGACTTCTACAACTTAATCCAGCTGCCCCCAGATGTGTACAATGCAATTCCTATCAATGGAGATGATGAAAACAGTAGCTGAAAACATTTAGGGACACCACCAGGTGGAAAAGGTCTTCTACAAACTTTTCTTTCTAATTCCACTTAAATTTATTTATGTTGCATTCTAGTTATGGACAGAGAAAGTTGGTTAACAACTTATTACTATATTTCTGCAACTGCCATAGCAGAATAACAGAGTTGGAAGAGACTTTGGAGGTCTTCTAGTCCAACCACCTGCTCAAGCAGGAAACCCTGTACGATTTCAGATAAATGGTTGTCCAATCTCTTCTTAAAAACTTCCAGTATTGGAGCATTCACAACTTCTGGAAGCAAGTTGCTCCATTGATTAATTGTTCTAAAAGTCAGGAAAGTTCTCCTTAATTCTAGGTTGCTTCTCTCCTTGACTAGGTAGCAGTATAACAAAATATTAAATAAAGTTGGAAAAATACTTTGTAAATTACTTTATAGGTTATATTAATACAGTGTTTGCAGGTGCTATATTACACAATAATATAACTTGAAATCTATTAATATGTTTGCATGGCTATTGCCATTCTTCCATTAGATAATTCTGGACAAGAGATGCATTCACGCAACCACCAAGAGTTGAACTCAAATCACATAAGTCTTTTTGTAAAGGTGTACTTTTTGTAACTTGTTTATGAGTCAGTTTTGACAAGCAGATAACAAGGAACCAGTGAGTCCCAAACAAGAGGGTTTCTTTACTTGCTCAGCCTTAGCAAACGTTTAGCATGTTCATGCAGAATTTCAGTAGGTTGCAATCCCTCATAATTTCAAATATTTAGCAAATTTTGGAAGCGTGGACATTACAGAATACATAGTCAGACGCTGCACCGTTTTTGTAACCGCCAAAGTCACATTTTAAAGCTTTCAAGAAGTCCTGCCCTTTATCTACCAACCGCAAGCCTACTGATGCTAGTTACACTTCTCAGGTCACTCCCGCCCTCTGCACATGGTCAATCCCTCTCATTTCTCTCTCTCTCTCTTTTGCACAAGACAAAAATCGCACTAACGGAACTCTTGGTTCTCACCTTTGATGTAGACATCGTCGTCCGCCCGCATAAACCACTCATAGGTGTCCAGGTAATGGTCGTACATGTACTTGAGCATCATGAAGGATTTCTTCTGCGGCGGGTACGAGTCGTCCACGCCGGGTAAAGCCACGACTGGCAGGGGCTGCTCTCCTTTTAGGCCGGGAGGAGGGACCGATCCCTCGCTGGAGAAGAACTCCACCCGTCCGGAGATGGAGCGCGCCCAGGTCCGCTGCGCTGCGAGCGCTCGGCTGCCCAGGTACTTCTGGGCGGTCATCACCCCGACGTAAAGGAAGTGCCGGGTTTTGGCACAGCCCGGGGTGCCCGCGTAGTCCCCGCTGCCGTTGTGGCTGCTGCCGTGGCGGCCGGCGCCGCCTTCTTCCTCCTCCTCGTCCTCTTCCTGGGGGTCTCTTCCAGCAGCTGCAACCGGGAGACTCGGCATTGGCCCTTCTGCGGCGGGCGGAGCCGGGGGCGGCTGTGGCTCCCTCTCCCATCGCCTGTGCCTACCGCCACCCAAGCCTGCAGCCGCGATCGCCGGCTCCTCGGGTCGCAGCTGCCTCTTTCCTCCGGGCAGACCAGCCACGCGGCCATAGAAAGCACAGAGGTTATTGCTGCCGCCGCCACCGCCGCCGCCGCCTCCGCTCAGGGAGCCGCCGTGGCCGCCGCGCCTTTTCCTCTCGCTCAGCTCGACCACTTTGGGGGCGATGAGCCAGGAGGCGACGGTGAACCCCAAGACCAGCCCCAGGACGACACTCAGCCAGGGGCGCCGGGACCGCGCGGCCATGGTGGTAGCCACAGGATGGGGCGGCGGCGAGAAAGAGAGGGTTCCGTCCCGCGAGGAGACGCCCACCGAGCTGCGGGTCCCGCCGCCGCCGCCGCCTTCTTTCCCTCCGCCTCTTTCTCGTCACGCTTCCAGAGCCCGAGACCCGCCTTTGCGAGTCCGCGAGGCGTGGTCGCTTCCCACCGCAGCAGAGGCGCCGCCGCCGGCTGCAGAAGCTCCGGGCTGTTGCTCCGAGTGGAAGTTCTCTCCGCGGGCAGCGGGGTTAGCGGAACAGGCCCCCGGCGTCCAAGAAAGGACTCCGCGGGCAGCACCTTGTCAGCGCCGCTGCCGCGCTGGTTCCTTCGCGCCCCTCCCACCACGGTGCCTCCTCCACGCAAGAGCGGCAGAGCGAACGAGCGGCCGCGGCCGTCGTACCTCTCAAACGAGGCTCAGCTCGCCGCTCATCCCGCTCCTTCAGGGCCGCCAGCGCGGCTTCCTAGCGCCGCGCTCCGGAGAGAGCTGCACTAACAGCACCGTCAGTGCAAGGGTGGCAAATAGCCGACTCCGGCTGCAAGGCCTCCAGAAGGAAGATTCCCCCCCCCAGTTCCACCCAGGAACTCCCCAGAGTTTCTCCGAGTTTGGTGGACGCGCCTCCATTATGACTTGTTCTCCCGCTTTTCCCTTCACTTGGTATCTGCGTCCAATTCTGGTCCCCACCAGATAAAAAAAAAACCGATGTTCAGACTTTAAAGAACAACAAAGATGATTATGGGGCTGGAGGCTAAAGTATTTAATGATGGGTTGTGCGAACTGGGTATGACTAGTCTAAGGAAGAGGACTAGGGGTGACGTGAGAGCACTCTTCCGACACTTGAGAGACTGTCACAGAGAAAAAGGGATCAACCAATTTTCTAAAACACCCGAGCACAGGACAAGAAGTAAGGGATGTAAGATTATTAAAAAGAGATCCAATCTAGAATTAAGGAGAAATTTCCTGACAGCACAAACCATCAGTGGAATGGCTTGCCTCCAGAAGTTGTGGGTGCTCCCATCACTGGAGATTTTCAAGAAGAGATTGGGCAACTTTTTCTGGAATGATGCAGGGGGTCAGATTAGAAGACCTCCAAGGTCCCTTCCAACTGTTATTCTATGTCCTGTGTTTTGGTTCCTCAAAACACACTTTAGGGTGTGGAAAGTTTTTTAAATCCCCTTCCAAAGTGGTGGTGCACAGGATGCAAAATTGTAGGCATGTGAGACAAGTCTGGTGGGAAATAGGAAAAAATACTTGCTTAAGTAGTAAGGCATTTTCCTTCTCAGTAACAGGAGTACAGGACAGTTATTTCCTTCCTCCCCATAGCCCTTTGAGGTTGTCTAGACCAGAAAACTGGCTCCAGAAAAAGAAAAGCAAAATGGGTGAACAGAATCTGGCAAGTTTTATTGGTTTTTATTCCTGCCCCTCTTACACCCCAGTTTGTGAGGGAAGAATCAGGCTAAACCTCTTCCTAATACTCTCTCTTTTCCAAAGGCTTAAGGGAGACTTCTGCCCATTTGATTTTCCGCTTCTGAATATTGGAATTCTGTAGTAAGGCCTTTTCTGTGGCTTCTAGGGACTCTTCCTCAAGTTTCACTAAAAATACTTTTCCCTCCTAAACCAATAAAGCAATCTGTTTTGCAAAACCCAACTGTCTTTGTTCAGGTTTGTAGCCAAAGGTTAATGTTTTCATTTCTCATACTGGGAAGGCTGGCATCCCCAGCTTTCAATTTCACCCATGCTATGAGAAAACTATCTGGCAATAAAAGTACTGAAGGTTTAGCCTTTTGTCAGAATTCACTCTGACAGATTAGGAAAGATGGCAGAGGGCTCTTCACAGGTCTGGAGACTTGGGGGGCTTTTAGAAAGCCACCTCTCTAATGATACTTGCCACCTCTCCCAGCCCTTCCAATCAATCCCAGTTATGGAGAAGAAGAAGAATCTTTCTTTACCTGCCAGGAAACCAAAGGTTTAGAGATAAGATAAGATAAGATAAGATAAGATAAGGTAAGATAAGATAAGATAAGATAAGATAAGATAAGATAAGATAAGATAATCTTTATTGTCATTTTTTTACTGTGGGCACAACGGCACACATAAAAAATGAAATTTAGTTGCCCGCTCCCAAAGTGAAACATACATGACGCACACATAAACATACTATGAACAACATATGTATAGACCCACATCCCTACATATACGCAGCAAATAAATATTAAATACTGTCTATCTTGAATATATAACGGAAGGAGGAAGCTTGAGAGTTCAGAAGGTTAATGCTGTATGGAATGAAACTATGGCTGAATCTGGATGTTCTGCTAAGGTTACAAAATGGAGTAACTTATGCTATATTCCAACACCTCCTCCCAGAAGGTAACAAGGAAAACAGGTCGTGAAGAGGATGTGTAGTGTCCCAGATAATCTTACGGACCCTGCTCAAGCAACGCTTCTGTGCTATGTCCTGGATGGGAGGGAGGGAACTGCCAATGATCTTTTCGGCCATCCTCACCACTCTCTGCACCGCCTTCCTGTCTAAAGCAGTGATGCTTCCAAACCAGACTGTGATGCTGTATGACAGGATGCTCTCGATCGTCCCCCTGTAGAAAGTGGTCAGGACAGGACATGAAGAAGTTGGTTCAGTATTTTCATCTGTCCTCTTGTCCAGCCTGAAAATTAGCCTCTGGAATTGTACAAGTTGGGTGGACAAATTCAAAGAAATGATGGGAAGCAAAGTTTCATGGCAGCAGAACAGCTCCTTCCTACTTGACTGCAGAGTCCTATATTGAAACCTGGTTTTAGTGTTTTTGTAAAAGTAGAATTCTGGGCATTGAAGTTCAGGAATCTTAAAGTTGCCAAAGTTGAGGCCCACTGGCCTAAACTG